TTAGTAATATAAGGGTTTGAACAATTGTATAATCATATATATATATATATATATATATGATATCGTGTATATAAAAGTGAACATAAAATTATGCACCAATTCTCAAAATTCGAAAAAGGAGACTTTAGGTGCCTTTCACACTGTGGTTTCCGTCTACGATATGTTCCATCACAGTTATGTGCATGATACAAGTATATAATAATGTAATAATTATACAAATCAGTGATTCATGCCTGTTATGAATTAGACAGTTTTACAGTAGTATTATATGCTAGACTGAAATAAAGATTTCATGTGATAAATAAGAGAGAAGTAGCGTTATATCTTACTAAAAATAGCTTAGTAAGATATATGGATATGTTTCGTAAAGTTCTCAAACACAAAAGTCAGTTCGATCGAAACATTTTAAACTTACATAAACCCGTCGATTGAACTTTTTCCTTAAATAAGTATGCTTTAAAATTAAAGCCAATGTACACGACTATAAGTGTCAATATTAAAATCAGCGTGATTCCATTGCAGAGCCATACGTGCACAACCGGATACGTCCGGTCTACGCGTGAAACGTTACTTTTTTTACATATTACTCTATTATACTAATCTCTAATAAATTATTTACATCTTGTCAACGCACTCGGTAATATCAACTCTTAACAAGCAACAAATGATCTTGTTGCAGAACTTACACAGCGATAACATTTGTTGATTGCATCGCAAAATCTCTGAACGAAAATGTTACAATATATTACAATCCTGGAGAGTAAAAATGTAATTAGTTTCAAAACATCAATCTGCGCGCATAAAAAACAGATAGTAATGATGTCAAATAATAATTAAAAAAATAAAATGTAGGCCAATTTATTTTTGCAGAGAAAGCTATTTGATAAAAAACATATATCATATATTTGTTACCCCAAATTAATGATTTAACACAGAATTGAAAATATACTTTCCAATAATAATATTATTATTGTTTCTATACTCTCCATAAATCACAATAATTTTTTCATTTAAGTTAAACCTTTGCGTTCAGGATTATTATATATATACAAACTTTCCACTTTTTCTCTAAAACACCAAGGCCGAATAATACATTTCAGAATACTAGATTGCCAGCATTGTGCATAGTTGATGTCTATCTCTACTAGAAATTCAACGACCTTCATACGTATATGTCATTTCCATTTAACACACTAATTCCTATTATTCGATAGATAACTGATATAAAATTAATTGACTGTGCAGTTTTCTAATGTTATTCATGTGTGATAAGAGTGAAAATTAAAAACATCCAAATATGAATTGCATTGTTAGTTATTGATTGTGAATTGATTCCCTATGTCATCTATTATATTTATAACCGCGAGATTCTTGATTTTTTTTCGATTCTTGATTCTTGATATTTTTTTCGTGTTACAATAAAAAATCTGTACAATATATAAACATCATATAATAATAACTGTAACTTCTCAGAAGATTTTATCTTCCATAAATACTTGTGTGCATACTCTGTCCTACATTTATATCATAATTCGATTAACGCGAATCTAATTTTGATAAACTTAACAAAGTTGATGATTTTAATTAATAAAAAATGTAAATCAATAAAAATCTTGATGAATGTACACAGATATAAAAAACAGATTGATCAAAATATTTCTTGTAAAACTGTAATGGTCCTCGCACAGCTTGAATTATTGAACCAAATAATATTTAAAAAATAATGTTTTTTTAAAAAACGTTACTCAAATTTATGTTTAAAAGTAGACATATGTCATTGGATATGCAAGGTACCGATCATCATGACTTATAATTGCAAGGCCATTCATATTTGTACACAAGTCAACAAGATATCATGTTGATATCTTACATAACACCTCTTTCTATAATTCCCCTAAAGTTTATCTTGTGTGTGTGGTGTTTTATCAATGTAGAGAATAAACAGAGTATTTTTTTTTTTTAGAAATTGGCAAAATCTGTAGAACGTTATCTATCACGAAAATTCACTTTCACAGATTGCCTAAACATGTTCTAGCATACAGAAATGATCATGATAAGTCTGCAAAAACATATCTTATTATTCGACTGCAAAGCCGCAAGTTTCCTCAACCGCCTGTGTGAGTTTGTCAAGCATTTTTTGATAAGTCGGATAACTTTGAGGTATGTCTATTCTATTGAAACAGGTATGTGCTTTTGGTAGATTTTCGCTCGGTGCATCAACGGCGTGTATTGTGAAAAGTCGAGGCCCCGCCGCTCCAGTCGATCCTATGCAATCAAAACGCAATACAAAATGTTATACTACAATACGATATTTTTAACGTGGTGTCTAAACAACTGATATTAAATGAACATTTACCTTGTAAAGCCTTGAATCCTTGTAACGGAACTCTGGAACTGCCGGTAACGAACTGAAGTAATCTTGCCCTCATTTCTTCGCCATACGACTCTACTATCTGCCAAAACCATTGGACAACCGGCGTATCGGGCGTGCAATGTTTGAGACGAGTATGTATTTTCCAATCGTTTATGTCGATGGTGCCCAAACCACCAATAACTAATTCTAATTCACGCTCGTCGAACGGTCTTAGTAATAAAGGAGGTATCAATTCATGAAATCCTTTCTGTAATGCTAAAAATTGTTGCTCGATACCTCGCATGAATCGATAGTTTACGTATAAACGGACGTATTCTCTCTTGTTTTCTTCCGTCACCGCAATGTCTTTACCACCTGGTTTTAATTCGTGATTTTTCAACACACCGAAACTGCTGTGTTCTACAGAAAATGTGGCATCCAACACACCATCTATGCTATTTTCCCTAATAACAAAAAATATAAACAATAATTTTTAGAAATTATCTGACATTTATTTCCAAAGCAACAATACATATTAAATATTAATAACTTTCCTAGAAAAAATATGTTACTTACAGCATCCATGTAAGGCTCCTGTGCAGTTCTGGATCGACCCCTTCTATATCATTCAACGTTATACCTTTGTTAAGCAACATTTTATAAAACGGAGTCGTGAAACCACCATCAATGTGGTGACCATGAAAAACGGCGATGCCTATAATCCTTCCGGCAAAATGGAAGTATGATAAATGTTCCGGATTTATGCCTGAATCCGGATTAATTTGCAGAGTGTAATTATCATCCCTCGAATATTGAAAAAGTCCGTATTGCGGGTTTAGCATCTCATGAGACAACAGATATAGCCACTCACGCGCCACGCCACCGTAATCCAGACCTTCTTCACCGCGAAATTTGACCATGAGTCTTTTACGCATATCTTTCGGGCGCATTTTCATTATCAGTCTGTACGATTCCTATCAGAATAAAGCATTGCTTATAAACATAATACTCTTGTAAAAAGAAATAATCTCTCTGAATTCTTTATATTGATAACCATGTTCTAAAACAAAAAAAAAAGAATGTATAAATAATTTTTAAAAATTGCTTACTTCAAATATCTCATTTCTCGACACCTCTAATCTACAATGTCCACTCTGAGGTTGAAGCGCATTCAATTCCGCTCGAAGACATTTTAACTTCGCTACCAAATCACGTTTGTATTTTGGAAGAAGTTCGTTATCCATAAGCTCTTTTGGTAATTCTGACACTGTTTGAGCATTTTGAGACGACGTGCTTTCCACTAAAATTTAAAAATTTTTTTTATATATGAGTACTAATAACACTATCATGGAATAAAGTTTTAATTTTTACAATAATGTGCCCTGATGAACAAAACTCTCCCGAAATGGAATGGCATTCTGTCCAAAATGACAAAATAACACTGAGACTGATTAACAGCTACACAGATAGACGTATTCATAGATAAGATAAAATTGTAAGACAGCACATGTTCTGTTTTGTTTTTGTTTGAAAATAAGTAGATTACATGATCTACATTGTGCGAATGTTATCAAATATGTAAAATGTACACAAAGCAATAATATAAGTATATGTATATGATATTTAAAAAAATTTTTTTCTTTCTTTCAAGAATATTTTTTTTTAAATTTGCGCACTCACTTGTTGGAGAATTATTGTTATTCCCATTTTCATTTCTTGTTGACTGCTGTGATGTGTTAGACTGAACTATTGATGAACTTGTATCTGTTTCAGTAGTTTCGCTCGTTACAGAACTATTTGCATTATTCGTGGTTTGGTAGTTCATATTATTATTTATATATTGTAATTATAAATATATTCTTTTACTTAATATTTATTCTATTTACTTTAACAGTTTGCTTATGATTTGACTGGATAGCCTGGGATCGGTAAATTGCGTTGTCCTATTATTGTGATCTACGAAATATACCCGTCCGGTCTGAGTCTGTCTCATTTCCCATCCGCTAGGAAGAGGGCCAAGTTCGTTCGTTAATTCGTTAGCTTGTAAGTCACGTGGTATCCTCGGGTCATGCCAGGTAGAGTATGTAGTTGGTACATGATAGAAATATACTTGACCTTGTTGGGTTTTCCTCATTTCTATATATATATAATAAAATTTATACTATATTTAAACTATATTTTCTAAATAATTTATTGTATTTTATTTAACAGTGTATTGTATTTTTAAAAAATTATACTGTCATTTGATTCATACCATAACCACGAGGTAAGTCCGGCGGTTGCGGAGGATCAGTTCGTCTGTCGCTATTTGACACGTTATTTCTATTTCTGTTGCTACGATTAGGCCTTCGTGTTTGACTCCCGCTATTAGGACCACGTTCTATCCTTCCGTTTGTGTTTTGATTGCCATTTTGTTCATCCGTTCCTCTAACGACACGCCGATCTCTTACGGACGACGCCGGCAACATCAGGTTTCTCATATGATGATTCTGTTGCTGATTACGATTCTGCTGTTGCTGCTGCGTTGGTGTATTTCTCGGGGTATTATGCGCCGAGTTGTCTCGACTAGGTGTTTGATTGGGAGTTCCGTCTCCATTATTCCATTCAGACGACGTGTGTCTTGCAGGACTCTCTTCATTTCTCACATTTGGCGAACTCGTGCTACTGCTGGGAGACGTCGGCTCTGACGACAGCAACGGAGGAGGTTCCGGCGTTGTCGGTATAATAGCATTATTAGGCCTATAAAAGACATTAATTGAATGAATTTCATATTATACATTGTATTTCAGTAATAATCGTAGATATCGAGTATTACCGAACATTTGGACGGATCCATTGCGTGCTTTTCGTGTAATGATTTACATAGTAAAGTCGACCGTTTTCGGTTCTTCTTTCTTCCCATCCGTCCGGTAAATCATTCGGACAGCTCAAATCACCAAGCACGTCGACCACAGCGTTATGACCGATCGTATTACTTACAGCACCATTGTGACCATCCCGTGACATTAAGGACACTACAATTTGCCCTTTTACAACGTCTGTGTCATCCGAACGAGCCTTACATAGATCTAAACGTTGATCTAAAAGTATACACATTGCAAATAGTAAAAGTAATCTTTAGAAAAAATAATTGCAATATATGTAAAATATTTTCTTCTAGAGATATTCGATATTGACTTTTAAAAAACAAGTGTAAAAAAGTATTGATATAGGATTATATTGCCTTTCCACTTATTGTAAAAATATCGCTATTTTTGAATTCATGAAAATAAGCCTAAACAATATTTAGACATTTTGGACTTGGATTTTTTTAGAGACAAGAATCAAATATAAATGTATAATATAAAACAAGTACAAACATACATCCTGTATCTTTAAGTCTTTGTATGGTATTTGATAATATGCATACACATCCTAGAAATCCTCCACCCTGTTTTTTATGAAATTTTCTGTAATTCCATACAGATATAGTGATTCCATCATTCTTTCCAATATATCTGCATAAATAAACAAATAATTTTTTTTCTTAACACTAACACAAAACGTATTTTATGTCTAGTTTAAAAAAACACTCACAAATCATAATGTTGATTCCACTTAGGATCAAGCGTAGCTTTACAAGTATCTGTACTGTGACATTGTCCAGAACCATCGACAGTTATCTTAGCAAAAGGATCGGGTAAGCCTACAAGAAAAATCATTCTTGAATTGTTTATTTATATCTTTACATACTAAACTCTTTATGAAAAAAAGTAAACTTACGAAATAAATCCTTTCTAGCGAGGTTACGAGCGCATAAGACTAAAATATATAAAATCATGAATATATGCTTTTGTAATAAACTAATGTATCAAAATATATATATATATATATTATAATGATATATTATTATATATGTAATTTATTGAATTAAATATATTACTTCCAAATTTTTCCACATTAATATAACATTTAACCAATAAAATTTCAAAAAATTTTATAAGAGAATTTGATCTAATAGTGATAAGTGATCTAGAACTTGCACTGTCTTTTTATATCTGTTACGTATAAAATAATATTCTTTGAATTACTATAATTGAATACTACTATATCTTCTTTATCATGATGAGAGAAATCTCAATTTAAGCTTAATATATCAATAATGTTATAACTTGTATAAATTGTTGATAATGGTCTTTATAACATGAATAGAAAAGATAACGAGAAATAATGCAATGTATATAGAATCATAAAAATATTTAAAAAATAATATCAGCTAAAAATAAGCCTATTCTTCCTGCATATATATATATATATATTCTTTCCGATATTTTTAATTTTAAAATATCCTCATTATATATAGAATCAGAGATTGAATATAGTAGCAGTTAATCATGCTCTGCGTTAAATTCACATAGCACATAATATCCCACAAAGTTCTTTGCCTAAGCCTTGTCAAAGATATTATTGAGATAATGACACATTAGACAGACACTTCGCGGCTATTCACAATTAAAGTTTTCATCGGTCTCCCGGAGAGTGCTCGCGGTAGGGTCGCCCCCGCTGCCGGAGAAAGTAAGCACATAACCAAAAGGGCGAGGAAGCCACGACGAAACTTGTTCAGAGTACGCAGGAACCCCCGAACGTTTTGACGTTTCGCGTCGAAGCCTCCCCGCGGAAGACACGGCGCACGCGGGGCCATATTGAATGATGCCCAAACAAAAACAGGCCGAGCGTAGATAGGTGGGTAGGTAGATACTGTAGGTAGGTAGATAGGTGTTCTCGTCGTGCGTGCAAGCCGCGACTTTCACGCATAACGCCCGATGATGTCAGTATAATTGTTCCGCACTCACTCGTTAAACGGATCTTCATGGCTCCATTCCTCCTGCTACCGCCTGGATTCGACATCCTGCACGCACATTTAACGCTACGCACCGCGCATCAGCGCTATAATTGATAAATAAAGTACGGATCTTGCCCTTGCCAAGAACGGCGCGACGGCAACGATGCACTATTCCGTCCGTATCACGCACACACGCACACACACACATATGCATATGCGCGGTGCGCGGACGAGCGGCCTCTCATGACGCGCTATACACTATACACTACGGTTGCGATTGCCAGAATCGACTCGATTGCGATTTCGAGAGATCTCGAATCGAGATCTCGCATTGAGATCTCGATTTAAAAATAAAAATTTAAAGTATAAATGGGGAAAGCAATTCTTATCGTGCATATAAATAATAATATAAATATAAAACATATATAATTCCATTTAAAAGAAATATATATTTGTATACAGGATCTTCCAAGTCAGATCAATGAAACTTCAATGTCTTATAGGAAACTGAATTTGGAACAAAAAAGTTCCTATGAACATAGGTTCGGAAACGCTTCGTTAAAAGGTTATAACTAATACACTTCGAAAAATCACGTTTTTTTGATGATTTTTAAAAATAATTTAAAAACCCCTTTATTCATTTGAAAAAAATAACGAATTAAATCTGATGGATAATTAAATAACAAACTAAATTACGCCAATTTCATTTAATTCTGATAAGACGTTAAAAAAATAAGCTCAAAACATCGAAAAAAAGCAGAAACTTGAAAAAAACCACCTTCCAATGGTCTTTGTGTAAATACTACATTCGTAGTGCAAACATTGCAAATGCAATCATAAAAATGTTCTTATTAAATTTTGATCATAACTAATTTCTTATAGACAATTTATTAGATATAACTTTTTAAAAAAGCCTATGTTTATAGGAACATTTTTGTTCCAAATTTAATTTCCTCTAAAATGAAGTTTCATTGACCTGACCTGGAACATCCTATATATTATATATATCATATTTATATATTTCTTCATTATTAGATTAAGTATCCTGGTGCGGACAACTTTTTTATTTTTATGTTTTATTTATGATAAGATATATTTTTATATGCTAAATGTATATACATTTATGAATGGATTTAATGCTGAATTTTTAATGCTGAATTTAATAAGACATTTAAATTTCTAACGAGATTAATATAATGTAAATAATTCAAATAATCTGCTCTAGAAAAAATTGACATAAAATCATATATATGTGTGTATGTGTGTGTGGTCATATACAAGTTAATTTTTTCTTGAGTGCCCAAGGAAATTTTCTAACAAGACAATTATATTATAATGAACTTTTGCCTGACATAGCCAAGAAAATAGTTGACATTGATAAGAGCAGATGAACATTTTTATTTTTATTTAAAAATTCTGGATTAGCTCAATAAGGGAGAATCCATAAGCGAACGATCAATTAGTCATTTATAGAAATAATGGATAATCATTAAATGGCTTACTAAAACAGACTGAAATAGTCAAGAAGAGAGTACTGCGTCCTTTAAAAAAATGGAATATAATAAAATGTAATATATGTATACACTGATGTGTTCCAAATAAGAGAGGGAAATTCATAAGAGAGAAATAATGCAATACATATGGTTGATTGGATAGAAATCGAAAAGTCTGCTGATCTTGATTAGTATTCGACCTATTTCACTATGCTTTTTAAGAATATATATATAATATGTGTGTGTGTGTGTTTTGCTCTCTTTGACAATCTACTTTCCCCAATTTATTACAAATCTAAATAGAAAATATTTTAGACTTTCTTGTTAGAGTCAAGCATTCTCTACCCGCATTAAAGCAATTCCATGCTCTACCACTAAGTCACACGCGATAAAATATATATATATATATTCAAGACTGTTTTTTTTCGAATGCATTATGCAGCTCTAGCACACTAGAATGAAAGTGAAACTTCCTGTGCTTTGTTGTATAACGTCACGTCTGGTTTGTGCAACATGATAACAGCGTGCGAGCTGCATTCAAATATTTTCGCGTTTTGCAACGAAGGCGATGGATGAGAGGAAAAAGTGTCAAAAAAATGGTACGAAAACATCACACAATTGAAAAATTTGTGTTAAATTTAACAAATATCACATGTCCCAAACGGTTCATACAAATTTGTGTGTTAATTTAACATTATATGGATATGTCAAATGGTGACACTAATCTATGCTAATATTTTAACATAACATAAATGCAAACCTCAAAGAAATTTGAAATAAATTTTGTATAAAATCAACATATTTTTAATGATAAAATTAACTTGGAAAAATGTTATTGACGGTCTGTAGCAACTTTCACTTCTATTGTAGAATAAAATCAACATTGTTTTCTATAAATTTTAACAGATAAATCCTGTCACTAATAATACATAACATATTTATTGTGTAAAATGAAAAATGTGCACATTGTGTTATTTTTACACTTATTTTCACTTGTTTTAATAATTTAACATTTGAGTTTAATTAACACAACAGCGATATGTTTAATTAATATGAATGTGTTAAATATTTAACACAAAAATTTTAACCGGCATATTTTTTAACAAGAAAACACAAATTTTCCAACTGTGCATAAATATATCTCAATATATATATATATACATATACATTCCTTCGTAGTCCTGTTCATATATAATCCTTCTTTATTATTGAAATCTTAGCGTAAAAACGTACAAATAAAAGATAAATATCCGCGAATACTCGTGAAAAGACGGTGAACGATTCGAGATCGCCGCGATAAATATTTAGCATCGAAATACACGCAAATAGTGTCATATATGTATAAAAACATGTCATATGATATTTATTGTTTTTCTTCTTTTTCTTTTTTCTGTCGCTGCTGCTCTTGTTAGAGTCTAACAGTACCATAACTTAAATTTATGAGTGCATAATGTCAGTATATTATTATTAACGATTATGGTATCAACTGGCCTGCTTCTACGAAAAGATTGCCCCTTATTAATATTAACATATATATATATGTATATGAAGTACGCATATATATCATCTTTGTGATCCCTGCACGTTTTGTACTATCATCGGTGTTAGGTACTATCGCAAGAATATATTATTTAAAACTTTGGCTCTTAAATAATCCGAAAATTTCTCCTTATTCACAGAAAAAAAACTGCCTAATCAATAATAATGTAATTTAAAAAAAAAATTCAAAAGGTTTTCAAACTACAATTCTCTCTAACAAGTTATCGAATTAAACAAAAAAAATATGCGTGTAAAATCGGTAAAATAAAGATCTCGTTAAAGTGATAAAAGGCACGAATCCTGGATTTCGCGAAGTTTGATAATGCCATATGATTTCTGTGTAAATGTTTCCCATATTTGACTACCCGGCTAGAAAAAAAAGCTTCTTTCATATATCAGGAAACTTCTTGGCAGTATATCCTTTATAGAAAAGATTTCCGTCGATTGCGGAATATGGTTAACACCGATAGCCGGCCGTGCAGTCCCTCTGTTGTACTTGAAAACGATTCAGATTTCAATTCTCCCCCCGAAACGTAAGAAATGCATCTACGAGGAAAACAGCGCCCTCGATGATACTGAGAGAACCTTTGGCCAAACCGGTATCACGAAACGATGATTTGTGCACCAGTTTGTGGAAATAGTCGATGTTGAGCGAGCCCGCGGCGATGAATAGAGCGCATCCAATGAGCGAGAAGAAGAGGTCCTAAGAAATAAAAAAGATCGAATTTGAAAACCATCGTTCTATTGTTATGAACTCTAAACTTGGCGATGTATCTTTATATCTTATATATATATCTGTATGTCTATAAAATTAAATACTAATAATTTTTCTTTAATTCTATTTAATTCTATCCTTAATTCTTCTCTTTCTAGGATAAAATATATATCTTTTGCAATATCTATCAAAATATTATATCAATAATATAGATCTGCTCTAACACATACCACACGACGGTTGACCGGCGTTCCCATCACGCTGCCGATGAACAAGCCGACTAAGATAATTAAGTATCCGCCGAATGTGCCCATGGTTATCATTGCGGTATGTTGATCTCCCGCATTGAAAGAGTGGTAGTGCAGTCCGATAAGGATGCACACCAAGAGCTGCGATCAGAGGGAGACACTTAAAAATGTAGGCAAATACTTTTCCGACTATGCGCTAAAATTTGTCCCATTTTTTCTATTTATAATCTCACTCATTTTCTATAATTATAATAACAGTTCTTTTTGTTCGCCAAAGTAAAGATGTGGACGTCGCTCATGAAACTGGGTCGACTCAAAGAGAGTCCGTCGACTCTTTCGCGATTCCATTATAAATAAAATATTGCCCGCTATTGCCCCAGTTGGCAAACAACTTTTATTTCCAGGCAACATGTCAGCTCGTAAATCGAATTGTTCGATATAGTTCGTCGATTAACACAGTTATAAGCATATGAATAGAATAAACTTTTTCAGTATATTGTTAACTATGATAAGACACAATATGATAAAATGATTAATATTGGTTTCAAAATCTCAAAACCAAAACATTTTTAAAAAACTCTTAAAGCATCTATAGTCATATGAAAACATTTTGTACATAATTGAGTAAAGTTTGGCCAATCAGCGCCAACCTTTAGCCGGGCGCACGTCGGTGAGCCGCGCGCCTGGTAGTTGCTGCAGCGCACACTTCACGGCGCACAGCTCACCGATGTGCGCCCGGCTAAAGGTTGGTGCTGATTGACCAGACTTTATTCAATAATAACTCCTTTATTAAGCGTTATAAAAAAATATGATAGAGGACGTTTCGACTCAGTTTGGTCCGCTCTATCTACACATGAGTATTGTCCCCAATAATCTGAGACACCTTGTATATATACAATATATATTTAAACTTTTCTTTCAATAAAAAATGATAAATTTTTATTTTTATAACATAAAACATCTTTTTGCAATTATGTTAATATATAATAATATGTAAAAAACTCATTAAAAACACATAAGTAGAGTACCAATTTTTTTAAAACAATAATTAGCAATTAAATAAAAATTGAATAAAAAATGGTGAATTAACTTATAGACACTTCATGTCACAATTACATAATTTTCATCTGTAAGTCATCTCTATGGCGCCAATATTAAAAATTACATCAATCGCCCTTGACGCGATGAACACATGCCTGAGTCTGAGTGTATCTTAAAGAGCCTCAGGCTAGGTCACCCACGTGTACATCGATAAGCACGCGATACTACACATCGCAATACTATGCGCCGCATTTACCACAGCCAAATTTGTTACTGAGAAGTACCATCATGGTATATATATTAGATGTAAATATAGTTATCTCTAAAATATAATCTATTGAAGTTTATATTTAAATCGGGCACGAACTTATGCAATCACCTGATAGATACGTGCGTTAAGTAAAGAAAGCAGCACAACAAATTTTTATTTATATATTTTTGATTAATCAAAATATTAATTCAAGATATACATTCGTATCTTGCTAATTTTTTATTCTATATAGAATAATTTTTAGAGAGAAAGACAATAATAATGCTTATTCTGTATAAGAATACAGAGAAAATAAATCATGTTTATTCTTATAGAGAATATGTATATTTTTTATTTATGGCTTATCAACAAACAAAGTCAAACATTCTATTATAGTTTAACTGAAACATGATTGCAGAATAACTGTACTCGTTAAGAAACTTTACGAAGAAATCAAACAAAAGGAGAGAACTAAAATTATATTTAGGAAACACCTGCCCTGGTACAGTTGAGATATTGCAAGTTTAATGCTGAGAATGAGCGCTAATTCGTAAACAAAAGTAGATAAATATTTACCAAGATAAATTTTTCTTTATTATATAATAAAACAATCAAGTTCTTAACATATTATTAATACTTTTATGTAATAAAAAAAAGATTTTCTAAATTATTAATTTATCCTAGCATTCACTACTTTAAAATTTTAATTTCGAATAATATAAAAATTATATGAATATACTGTTGACAATTTTAATTAATACAAAATAAAGTATATGATGTATTTCAGGACAATATATAATAAAACTAATTTTTTTTCCTATCGCCAAAAAACACGACTGACAATGAGAAACGCTTGTCGCAACGAAAGGCGTTAGTCTTCTCGCATTATGACCCGTAGTTCCAAAGAATTATAACGGAAATTCTCATACAGGTCGACTTCCGGACGACATAGAGCGGACCATAATAAGAGAAGAGAACGCTCTTGTGCGGTAATCAGCGGTGATTATGTCACTCTCCATTCTCGTCGCCTTACGAATCGCGAAAGATATGCAGCGCGGAATGCTGCGCCCAACAACAGTGCGATATTGACGCGCGCGCGCGTACTACATCGATCTTAGAAAAGCGCGATCCAGATCGTGATGTACGCATCCCTAAGTTAGGTCGATCGATCGGAAGGAACAGCGCAGTACCGTTAAAAATAAATTTGAGAGCGCTCTTGATAGAGTTCTTAGAGAGGAGTGTTAAACGACCTCGAGGATACTGTTTCTCTTGCGGCTGGAAATATATGTGTGCAAGAAACACCGACAAATTTATGCAGTTTGACATCGAATCGCGTATTTTCTCAAGAATTTTCACATAACTTTAAATGCTGAGAATAAAGGAATTCTTTGAAGAATATGAATAATTTCTTTTTATATCGCAACAGTTTGCTAGTAAATGTTTATTGTGTGTTTCAGATTATGTTAATTAATATCTTGTAATGTGACATCATAGATAGGCTGTTGAGCTTATTCATTGAAAAGGAACTTAATTTATACTATATTTATTTGTTATCAAAGTCAGTTAAATAGTCATACAATTTATATTATGAATTATCATCTTCTCCAAATAATTATATGTATATATTATGAGTACATGTTAATGTGTATATTAAAAATTTGCATCTTACATAAAAATAAAATCATATTATGCTCGAAATTAAAGTATGACAAAATGCCAATTATTAAATTAAAGACACATATGTGTGTGTGATCTTATACATATAATACTAAAGATACTTAAATTTATTAATATACTTACAAGTTCAATAGATTTTATGATCGACAACCTCGTGATAGTAACCATTTTATCTGATCTACAAGTAGAAAAAAATATGAATTATAATTAATCTCTCATACCATTCGTTTAAATATGTAAAAACACATTTTTGTGTACTTTTATAAAACACGCATCTTGAATTATATAATTAATAACGATTGATGGATATCACGATAGATATGCGTTTTTAAAAAAAAAAAAAAAAAAAATATAGCGACTATAAGCACAGAATGTAAGTCACATGAAAGCATAATGAATCATAAAGAAGAATGAAGACAAGAATGAAAATCGATAACTAAACTAAAGTCATATAAACGAGACCGGAAATGCGTAGTGTTCAGTTAAAGTGAACATTGTTGTGAGCCTCTGTGTATGCAGAAAAATAGGAGAATATTGCAAGATAATAATGCCCTATTTGATAAGACATGTTACGCATTCATGCTTTAATAATATAAGAAATTTTCACACAATTAATATAATTGAATGATGACTGCAGTTATCATGTTTTAATAGCTATGAATTTAAATTCAACTTTTTAATTACTAGCACGTTGTCAACATGTTTACATTTTTTCATGTTTACCTTTTTATGTATAAAATTTCTTTTGTGATCTTTCGTATTATTTCTTATGTAATAAAATTCGGTATTAGTTTCACATAACAAAATTTTTGTTAATATATACTATAACATTGAAATAATGATGTGATATGAGAATACATTTACAGAACACAATAAAAACTATTTCATCAAATATCAAAATGTCACCCGTACAAAATTTATGAATTAAAAGATACGGAATTGTGACATCATACATAATAACAATCAACTAATTAATACTTTATTTAGATATATGATTCTCAGGATATGCGTTATTTATAATGTTTAAAACTCTGAATTGTTTCTAAAAGATACACACTCACGATACAATTACATGCATCGATCCACAATAAATAAAATAATTCGTGCTTAATTACATCAATTGTAAAATAAACTTTACGTCATTTCTCAGTGAATGACAAGTGAGTCGGCACGACCATGACATACCCAAGATAGATAGAATGCAACAAAACTGGTAGAAATAACGATGTGCTCTGCATATCTATATCGTCATTGAAGAATACTTATTCGTCAGTGTGTGTCAAGCAATAAATTTTTTAAATCGCGATTGCTTGAGTCATCAAAGCGAAATTAATATAGCGATGTTTCAGCTTTGTGCGATAAGAGCAAAATATCTAATAAATTGTCATATAATAAAAAAATAATATCATATATATATGTATATACAGGGTGTTCCACCAAAAGTGGTCACCCCTTTTATCTTTTAAACTAAAAGAGATAAACCATAACAAATATATATCAATTTTAATGGTTCAAACTGAATTGTATTGTGAGCATAGTACTTGCTTACAAAAGCTATCTGTGTTAACGACCGGAGAGGTATGCATAATTTTTTTATAACAATGTGGATATGAAAATGAAAAGATAAACGTCGCCTGCGATATTTTAAGCCGATATATAAAATATTTACATTAAATCATACATCGTTGTATTCGTTTCAAACAGCGCTACAATTTTTATTGTGTCGAAATACCCACATTGTTATTAAAAAATTATGCATACTTCTCCGATCGTTAACACAGATAGCTTTTGTAAGCAACTACTGTGCTCACAATAGAGTTCAATTTGAACCATTTAATTTGATGTTGTATAAATTTGTTATGATCTATCTCTTTTAGAGATTTCTTTAAAAGATAAAAAGGGATGGCCACTTTGGGTGAGACACCCTGTATATTTTCGAAATTAATAATTTTTATTTTCGTTTCAATTAATCTATACGAAGTTTACCAAATAGTTATTATTAATAAAAAAAAATATTATTAAATAGTTAAACGCGCGTATATATAAGCATTAAGATATATTAATTTTATCACACACCACAGAAGTATATAGAAATTATCTTCCATAAAAGAGAATAAATGTTAAAATTACATAATATTACACACATGCAAAAATAATATTTAAAAGATTTAAAAATTAATAAAGTTCTTAATGTCAATCTGAAGCGACATCGTTCAAGATGAAAATATAGGTCGTTCGGATTGTTTATTCTCTCGCACACGTAATTAAGTCGGAAACCTGATATGGGTAACGAGATCTCGTTATTATTCTCAATAATCTGCGATTTCGAACACGTGAGCGATGTAAATTAAGCGTTGAGGAGAAGAACGCATTTCTTATACCCAAAAGGAAGACACACTTTCACATTGCTTGCCATTGCCTTGACTCCATTTTTATAATTTTTTTCAGGGTTCTCTCTCTCTTCCTCTCTCCTGAGTTAGAGTACGTTTTTAAAAATGTATTGAAAAGAATATGCATGATTAAAGAAAATCTTAAACTTCTTACAAAAAATGGTAAAATTAAGATCTTAACATTTATATATTAATTTTGAATGATATGTATCTTTATGTTACTGAAAATATCGCTGATAATTATTTTGTAGCAATTAATGGATTATATTATCAATTAAAAAACAAAATTGTATAAAAAAATGCTTCAAAACTTATAAATTTATGTCTTTTCATTTTTGATTAATAAATATTTTTTCTTATTTTGCAATTATAATATCGGTTAAAAAATATTGTATTGCGCGTATGAATGCACGATTGTAAACTTTAAACTCGTTTGCTTATTTTCTTCGATGAACTGTGTCGTATGACATCATTCACGTAACTCATGACAAAAGATAAGTATTATTAAAGCGAAATAATGTGTTTTTTTTTTTCAATAGCCTATATGTCTTTCTCGGTTCTTCAAGAAATTATCCATAAGTTATGTTAACATTTAGCTTTACAATCGGTTATATTTTCTCGCAAAATATACCATAATTTTTGGACATTTATACAGCAGAACAACGTTTGTTTTGTTATTCTAATATCTTTACTCGACCGGTCAAGATCACTCGACCCACAAACCGGTACACAAAAGGATAACACGAACAAAGAACCTCGAACGAGATGCGTCGGAAGCGTCTTGAAAACCTCTTCGATATGACAGCGTTTTCGTACAATTTTCGATTTGTAAAGAGTGTGAGAGAAAGAGGAAATAATTCCGGAGTGCGTCCATTCATTCACGCATCAGGTGTGTTCGGCGTCGTATATATAATATATGTATATATATATAATATAGCATGTACTTACATGTTTGTGCTCTCGATTTACCGGACGGTCGTGGCTGCTCGCGAGACGAAGGTTCAACGACGACTGATGCTGAAGACCGACCACGTATTATGGAGGCGCGTTGGGGCTAGCCTCAATTTTTACGATTGACGGAAATGCGCCGACTTTTACGTTGTGGTGTTTACGCATCGGACAACCACATGGACACTTTAGTTATAACGCTCATTTTGAATAGAGATTTCTTTTAGCTTAACAAATGTAACTATAAAAAAATATTTTATTGTGGTTTTTAATATAGAATAAAATTAGAAAGTGAACGTGGTTACACGATAATGTAATTGATATAAATATAAAACACACGAATGTCGAAATCGTAACGCAACTGGTATGAATCTATTTACAAAAACCCTATTTTTGTAAATATTATTATACAATATTATTAACTTTAATTAATAATTATAGAATTCTTCTTAAGAAAGAGAAAAAGAATCTAAAAATTAGTACAAAATAAGTAATCTTATTTATAAAAATTTTACAATTTAAAAAGTGTTAAATAAACCAATATTTTGTAAATTATAATATTTTCATAAAGATTATCTTTCTGTATATATTATTTTTTCAAAGCTTTACATGCTATGTTGAATTGTTCTCTATAAAATACTGTAAATATCAATATAATTAATACATTTTTATGTTTTAATAAAATAAATGTTAAAACTAAATAATAAATAATAATTGTTAAATAAATGTTTAAACTAAATAAATGTTAAAAACACATTCTTCTCTTTTCAAATAACTAAAGTATGTTGGTATAACATAGTAAATTTTTTTTTAGTTCTTATTTTAATAATTACAATATTTTTTATGTCCATTTTTCTCATTGGTATATTAATAGTTACTAAAGTTAATATTTTAAAAATATTTCTTCAATTAATTTTGCTATCTGTCTTGGTAATTAAATAAACTAATATTATTTTTGTGCGGATGATTATAATATTATTAATTAATTTGGAAATAGTACGTTGTTATTTAATCAATTGTCCGACTATAAATTAATCATGTATTTATCATTTTATCTTATCGCAAAAATTCTATTTAATAATTATTTGCTTTGCTATTTCACAATGATAAAATTGTGAATCATTACTACTTTAAGATAAAAGAGGATATCCAGGAATCGGATCGTTTGAAGATTACGTCGATTCTACACCTCGAGCGTGACATCATGTTATTCATTACAATCATACGATGACGTCACGTATTGTAATGATCCACATAGCATAAAACGTGATGCTGGCTCTTCAAATTTTATGACATATGAATAACTTCCGGTATATTATAGAAGGTGGAATTTATATAGCACTCTTGGGAAGTATTCTAACTTTTAAGTAATCAATATCAAGAATTGCAAATCTATTATCTCTCTCGGTTGATTATTCTTTCTCAATTGAGGAGCTCGTAAAATACGTAAATAAAGATTTTGTGCTGCAATTCTGTGGCAGGAAAACCATTCCAAACGTTTTTGACACAAGAGAGAACTATACGAAGTAAAATATGAACATTTGGCGTGTTCGGATTTTATAACAAGTAAATTATTTGTTAAATAATAAGATGATTATATACAATTTGATTGCGTTTATGGATTTCAATAAGTAAAAAGTCTTTCATATATGTATATATTATTATTTTATATGTAATATATATATATCAATACAGTGACTGACAAAAAAAAGAGACCGCCCCTATTTTGCAAGTTTGTGTTCCAAATATTATAAGAAAATAAAAGAATTTCTATATTTTTTTTCGCTGAGATAATTCTATATTGATTTAATTTTAGCTTTTAGAAGAGATTTTTCTTATTATTTTCTTCAGATTTATTTTTTCCTAATTTTTTTCAAAAATGTTTTGCTTGAGGGTAGGACAAAAGAAAGAAACCACTATCTCAGTTAAAAATGCCGCTTATTGATTGAAGTATTCTATCTTTTCATTGAGCAAATTATGCTGTGTTATGTTTTGTTTATTATGTGACCTTGTAGTGCGAGTTTGTTTCATTCGCTGATTGTTTCTCAACTGAAAAAGTTCGTGTGTGAAGATGACTAGAAAACAAAGATGATTATATACAATATTTATTTAATATATAACATTTTGTAAAATTTTATATAAATACTTCAGTATCAACAAAAAAGACATTCAAATAGTCATTCTTACACTCTCCCTTGTTAGTAGTATACTAAAATTAAAGTAATAGTAGTAGTAAAGTAGTATATTAAAACTGCAACTTCTTTTTTATATCTTCACATATCGCCAAAGTTTGAATCTTTTTTAAGAAGAAGAAATTTTTTTTTAAGAAAGAAACATTAAGATAAATTTTCAAGAACTTTTTATCAGAAAACATCTAAAAAATTAATATTTGCATAAATATAATTTACGGAAATATATGTTTTAATGTGATCCGGATATGTCAAGTTTTCATAATTTAAATCGTCTGATGATCTCTCATTTTGTACAAATTTCTTTTTGTGTAACTTTTTTTTTAAATTATAACATAAATTTTTTAAATTTTAAATAATAAATTTTTGTAAATGTTTGTATAAATTTTTAGTTTTTAATGTGTGAAGATGACTAGAAAACAAACTTGTACCCAAATCCGAAAATTAATTATAAAAGATATTCAGAAGGGTTCTTCGCAAAGGAAAGTAGCAGCAAAATTCGAAGTAAGCAAAACTCAAGTGCAAAAGCTATGGAAAAAATTTCGGGAGACTGGTTCTGTTGTGGACAGAGCAGGAAGAGGAAGAAATCGAGCGACTACCGATCGGGATGACTCGCGTATTGTACGAGAAATTAAAAAAAATCCATGTTTAACGATACGGGCCATTCAAGAGAACTTCCAGTTAAAGGTATCGCATAAAACAATTCGGCGAAGACCCCGGGAAGCAAACTTTCACAGCCGATTTGCAAGAAAACGGCCCTTTATCAACAAGCGAAATAAAATTAAGCGTCTGGAGTTTGCAAAAAAATATGTAGAAATGCCGATTGACTTTTGGAAAAAGATTCTATGGTCTGACGAGAGTAAATTTGAACTATTTAATTGGAAAACAAGGCTCAGATTGTGGAGAAAAAAACGGGGAAGAGTATCAAAAGCGTCACTTGTAGCAGACTGTAAAGCACGGAGGAGGCAGCATTATGATCTGGGGTTGCTTTGCTTGGTCAGGAGTAGGGAGTTTAGTCAGAATCAATGGTACATTGACGGCAAATATATATATTGACATCCTCTGCAAAAATCTAAAGACATCATTGCTTCGAACCGGGTTGGAAGACAATTTCGTTTTCCAGCAGGATAACGATCCGAAACATACAGCGAAAAGTACTCAGACATTCTTCAAATCGAATAGAATAAAACTTCATGATTGACCTCCGCAATCACCCAACCTAAATCCCATAGAAAATCTATGGTCGATTTTAGATAAGAAGATCGATAAAACTGGGGTAACCAACAAGAAAAATTATTTCGCGGTGCTTAAAAGAACTTGGGAAGAACTAGACGAGAAATATCTTCAAAATCTCGTGGAGAATATGCCAAGACGACTCCAAGCAGTGATCAAGGCGAAAGGAGGCCACACCAAATATTAACTTTTATTTATTTTTTTTTTCTGATCTTTCTTTTTAAATATATATATATATATATATATAAATTATATCTTTAATATAATATATGTATATTGCACACATACGAAGAATGCAACGTTATCGTGCAATGTCAAAATATCCCAAATATACAGGGTGTTTAAAAATAGGATAAAGAATTTTAAGGGGATTTAGTATGTCCCCAAATAAGTTAAAAACTCTTAATAAACATGAGTTCGCAAATGAGCCGTTTTTGAGATATTTGCAATATCTCAACTCTTTGGGGCTTATTTGGGGCTATTTAAAAAATCTGGTGTTTGCAGAGCCAATCAATAACTTGGAACAATTACAACATTGTGTATAAAAAGCCTGCGTCACGAATGAACCCAGATATGTTTGATAGAGCACGAGATTCTTTTTTGCGGAGATGCAGGGTGTGCATAGACATGGAAGGAGGTCATTTTGAGCATTTTCTTTAATAAGATAAGATTAAATATTAGCTGTGTTATTTTTTTGCATAAATTATAATAAAGAAATATCTTCAAAATCTCGTGGAGAATATGCCAAGACGACTCCAAGCAGTGATCAAGGCGAAAGGAGGCCACACCAAATATTAACTTTTATTTATTTTTTTTTTCTGATCTTTCTTTTTAAAAATTAAATGCGGTTTCTTTTTTTTTGTCCTAATGATAAACGGAACGTTTCTTGAAAAAAAAACGAAAAAAATTAATCTAAAGAAAATGTTATTTTTTTGTTCTGTGAATATTAGAATTAAGTTAATAAAGAATTATTTGAGCCAAAAACATTCAAAATTTTCTTATTTTTTTGTAGTTTTTAGAGACAAAAATTTACAAAATAAAAGATGGTCTCTTTTTTTTTTGTCAGTCACTGTATATATGTATATATAATGTGTACGTGTCATCGTAATAAACTTAAATTTTAGTAATACATGTGTATTAAATATGTATGTGTCGGATTGTTTTTTTGGTTTATCTTCAGCATAGATATAAATATGTAAAGATTATTTTGATATTTTAAAACTTGACATCAACAATATTTGTTGTTGCACTCAAATTTTAAATTAAAATCAATAATCAAAATGGAAGACTCACTAAAATCCGCGTAGAGTCTATACAAATTAGACAACATCTAAACGCCATCACCACACGTATATCCATTAGTGGTTTTTAATAAAATGATGAATTTAAATTAATGATGAATCTTAATATTTATAGAAAATATGTCACAGTTAGTCAGTGTTACATAAATTTGATAAACTTTTATAATACACAAGATCTGCTATCATATCTATAATTTTTTTTTATTTATATTTTATACATTAAATACGTTCAATCATATGTTAATACTAATATAAAAATATACATGTCAAAATTTCGAGAGATATGTCTGTTATTAAGGAAAATCATTTGCTTTTAACACATTTTGTCTTAACTCTACATAAATTGTCTAATAAAGTTGGTAAAAGTGAAGGGAATAAAAAAAACGGTGAAAAAAATGTCATTTATTTGTATAAATAATAATCTTTAGGGGTCTCAAAAACTTTCTTTTGGTGATTTTTTTTTCTGAGTAGTAGTTTTCGTTTCCAATTGCTTTTTGTAGGGAGACAAAATCAAGATAACAATTCTTCCTCTTTTCATTACATGAGATGTGTAGGTACCTGGTTTTGTCCCAACACAAGGAAAATAACTAATACGGCGGTTGTATATTCCGTCAATTTTTGCTTCCTCATAGAGGAAGCTTTGTGAGATATCTCAAATTTTCTAAAAGTTACAGCGTGTACAGACATTTCTAAAAAAATCCAAAATTTTATAAAAAATGAACCCTTTCACCGATACTCACCAAATTCAGTAGCAACCATCCTTTAATAATACTTTACCCATCTAAAAAAATTTAATCCGATATCTCAAATTTTCCGATAGTTACAGCGTGTACAGACATTCCTCAAAAAATTCAAAATTTTATAAAAAATAAACCCTTTCACCGATACTCACCAAATTCAGTAGCAACCATCCTTTAATAATACTTTACCCATCTAAAAAAATTTAATCCGATATCTCAAATTTTCCGATAAATAAAAAGTCTACTATATATTAAAACAACATCTTACAGAACTTGAAGAGTATAAGTAAATTTTTTTATATATTTATACATATATAATATCTCTTTTAGCCAAGTTTTTTGTAGATATCTCGTATGATGTTTAAATTACTTGATCAATTTTATTTTATTTTATTTATTTTTTTTTATATTATAGACTTTTGTCATGGTAGAAAAAAATGGGCATATTGTAGAGGTCTGATGATAATAAATTCCAAAGCAGACTTCACTTAGGAAACATTTTACATGGCAATGGAAAAATCTGAAACTAAATTTTTAAAATACTTAGCTTGCTCTGAAAATACTTCTTTCATCATCGACTATTTACACTTAAAAAATAAACAGAAAATTACAAATCCGGAATATCAAGAACATGTTAACAGTTATTTTTTACTACTGCAAAGCACGCAAAAAATGATGATATGCTTAAACATATATTTGAAAAATTTTTCGAAATAAAACCTACGTAATATGACATTTTTTTTCATAAATATTCATTCGAAAGTTTATTTTGGGTTATATGTATATTTGCTGATTTGTTTTTATAGACAAGTCAGTATGGCTGTTTTATCATTAATAATATATATAACAAAGAATACTTTAAGGTAAAAATTTTATGATATATATTTATATATGCAAAATGTGATGACTCTATAATGAATAAAATTAATACTTATTATTTGTGACGTTAAATAACAAAATAATCCATTTTAGCAAATAACCGAATTCAGCAAAATATTGTATTGACTTATTAATTTTTAACTTAGTTAATTTTTAGGCCATTAACTTTAAACTTAACTTAGTTAAAAAAAAAACGTTTTTTATCGTCTTTAATTCCATCGCCACGCTTTTCGTATCTATATCTTACATATGTATGTGCCTGTAAATTATCCGATTATTCATGTTTGCTTCCATTAGCCTCCTTTCGTCAGTTACTTGATATACAACATGCGTTTTTTCACTTGATTTTCACAAAATTAACATGTCATGAATTTCGCTCAATGCACAAAAAGAATTTTGAATCTCTTTTTTATTGTATTTATGTGTAGCTTACCAAAATACTTGTATCAAAAGTAATTAAATTGTGCATTATAAATTATTAATATTATGAATACCAAAACATATTAAATATTATACACATAAACATACATATATGTATGCACAACATATAACATTATATACATGTTATAATATAGTATTTAATGTTAATCAAATAATCAAATATAAACATTGTTAAACCATATGTGAATTTATAGTATATTGGTCTTTTTTATAGAATTTTATTATAAAATTCTTCTTGCAAATAATAAAACGGGTAATCATATAAGAAAAAACAAGTTTATAATTATCATATAGAAGCAATTAAATATGTGCACACGTAATTGATATCATAATTATTAATAGTATAATTGATGGAAATGACAATATAGATATATATATATAGAACATCGAATTTCTTGAAAAAACTGCATCATCAAAGATTTGAGTAAATGTATATGTACTATATTCTTTAGTACGCACTATTCTTTAGTATGTGATATTCTTTGATTGAATATAAAATGATGAGGAAGCAATGTGCAAGTTTCTAATTTGCACAACTCTACTTTTTTATATTTATTCTAATACATTATATATTATCTGAACAGTATGTCTTGGTTTAGTTATATGCAAGAACTTTGATCATGTTAGATTCTTATAATACGAGATTAGGTTACTATTTATTTATTATTAATGTAATGACATAATATATTTCAGATAAATCAAATTTTGAGAGATTTGGAGCAAGTAAATAAAAAAATTGAAAACAAGATAAAAATTTGATGCGACCAAATCGATAGACAGGCAGACTACTTACAGAATTTTTTAATTGGTTAACATAATAAAAAATTGTAACTCTGCATGCGTGTACATACCCTGCATTAAATTAAATTTTATATAGAATAGTGGATCAAATTAAATTCAAGTTATTGTTCCGAGTTATTTTGCAGAAGCAAATTTATTAATGTCAAAGCCGTGCGTTATTAAAATAATAATAAAGCGGTCTCTTATTGTTTCGGCCTGTTTTTACTTAATAATGTCATTATAATTCTGTACATTAGAGTAATGCTATTATTCAGGGTTGGGTAGTAACTAGTTAAAAAGTTAAAAGTTAAGTTAAAAAGTTGAAAAGTTAATAACTTTTAACTTAAATTATTGTTAGTTCATTTTAAACATGTTAATTTTTAACTTTTAACTAGTTAAATGCATTAACATTAACCTATTAACATTTTTTATACAAATTAAAATTTTGTATCTTTGATAGTCGAAAATTATCTGTTTATTAATAATTATAATAACATAAGACAGTATCTAGTATCATTAAAATGTGCGTTCATAAAATACAATACAACAGTACCATTCTCGGCGCACGTAGAACGTATGTTTAGTGTAGGTGGTTTAGTACATGATGAGTTAAGAGGAAAAATGACGGACCATAATTTTGAGATAACATTTTTATTAAAATTCAATAAATATTTTTAAATTGTTTTAATTTATTGTTAAAGTATCTAACAATTAAAGATAAAGATAAAATGCACGTGTGCAGGTAGAACGGTTCAAATTAAATAGGAAAATCCTCTTAACCGAAGTCTCTGTTAACCGTTTTGTTTTTAAACACTATAATATCTCTATTATACAACTACAGTATATTTAAATAATCTGTATTATTAATTATTATATGTATAAATTATAAAAAAACATTATATTTAAATATGTAAAATTTTAATTTTAAATAATTTTATTAATATTTTAATGATATATAAAATAAATATTATAATAGATAAAAAGAGGTTATTATTACTAGTTATCTATTAATTATTCATGTCTTATTAAATTGGTCTTTTAAGAAGAAAAAAAGATTGTTATTATTATTAATAAAACAAATTATACGAGCAAAAATTGCGCATTGGAGAAAACATTTATTTTATAACCAGCTTGGTATTGTTACAAATTGACTGTTTTATTCGCAGAGCTGAACAGCTGACTGATACTTGCCAGTCTCTCAAGATGGCGTAATAGATGCTGAATTTGAAGTTTCAAAGAGACAATGATAAGAGAGATATATATTAGCACAATTACTATTCCCAATTTATTCAATTAATTGTTGAAAATTCCTCCCAGATCTCACATGACGTGAATAACTTGAAACTCATGCTTTGGTCTACTTTTCATTTTTATTTTAATGTAATTGTACCAATCGATAAAACAACAATATAGAATTGGTTCATCATCTATCTCCTAAAAGAACCAAATTGATAAGTTAATAAATATTTCCGAATTATTATTATAGAAGAATTTCCAAATAAAAGAGAAAAAAATTTCCAAATCTTATTTGCTTCAGATAATTTCTTTTTACATGTTAATACATTTCTTTACACGTATATATTGTATTGTACATATATCTGTGTAAAAAATCTTTAAGAAAACATTCTGTTGATTTTTCGATAACCTTAGAACTGAAACGACCATAAATGTCATTCTATAAAAATAGAAATAAAGATAAAATTTTTGTCATACATCTGAACACAAAATGCTCCTTTTTCTTATATTGCACAGGAAAACTTGACCTGCTTCAAAATCCAAAGTGTCGATAGAATTGTATAGTAGACAGAATGAATTGTCATTCTTACGGTACTATCGGTGATCGGAGCGGAGACAGATAAATCTCTCAAAGAGGGAATCGGTGCCAGTTCTACAACCTGCTGTCTGGTACTATGTTTATCGATCTTTTTTCCATTTATGGAATTTTCAGTTACGTCGGTATCCACACTAGAATCGTAGCTTTGAGTATCACTTGATATACTTGTATCTTGCTCTTCTCGAATCTGGAATTGCAAATAGTTACTTTATGCGTGTATGTGTAATTTTAAATAAATTATTTAAATTGTAATCTTTCTTGTAATTAAAATAAAATTAGTGATTGCTGATAATTGACCTAACCTGGAAAATTTTAAGGAATTTTTTTGAAGATTGCAAACTAGTGAATAACTGTAAAATTTACGTTCTATATTTTATAGATTTTTAAAACAGTAGCATATAATGGAAATACATTATTACGTTAGGCAAAGTTGATAATGTAAAAATATTTTGCAAATTATTAAATATCGACAAAATATGTGCTTTTTTTTACATTTACGCACCCATTGCCATTGGTCAAAGAGAACCCACGCTTGAATCAGATATAAAGTCATGACGAAGATTGATAATATACACATTACAAAATTATGAATAAAGATGGGATGCTCCAATATTTCCTCATCAGTAAATTCGGTAACATCAATGTACATATCAGCGTGTTTCATTTCCATTATTCCTGTCACAAGCATCAGAATAGCCGATGTCGCGCATATTGCGAGAGGCTTGCGAATTCATTATCATAACAAGGCATAATTATTTAATATATGTACGCAATTTTATTTATTAATTGTATGCGTGTATTGAAATAATTATTTTTGCTCGTTGAATAATTAATTTTGTACTTTCTTTTACCAGAAATAAAATATAACATTAACTATTGTTATTATAAGAAAAAAAGAACTTAAATTAGACATATACAATATTGTCATAAAAATATTTAAATTTTTATAAATTATCGAATTATCTCATAAATTATGTTATGAATAAGAAAAAGGCATATAAGCAATCATTATATGATAGTCAATTAAAAACATGGATTTCTCTCTCTCTCACTCAGATTCAACAATTCAAAACAATTTTTAGTATTATATATTTTGCTTTTAGATTGTAATTTTATTTAAATGAATAAATTGCTTATTTATATCTAAATTATATAAAATAAGAATATATTGCACAGGGAACAATTAAGCATACTTTCACGTACTTTGAAGGTGTTGTAAGCATTTTAGAAGAAAGACTTACTATCATAGGTCTGTCAGGCAGTATCTTTCTAGCAAACCAGAAGATCGCAAGAACAAGGCTCATCAGCATGCAGATAGGATACACGAAGAAAATAGGATTTCTTACCTCCGGCAATGCCGGGATCGTGTCATCCTTTTCTCGCGCACATTCATTTATATAATGATGTACGTGATGAAATATCTCAATGGCTGATGCAATTATCTAGAAAGATTTTAAGGTGTAACAGTCCGCGCATAGACAGTTGAAAAATTTATGTTAAATTTAACAGATAACATTTATGTGAATCGTTTCAGACATGTCCCAAACGGTCCACACAAATTTTTGTATTAATTTAACATAATATGGATATGTTAGATAGTAATACTAATACTATGTTAATATTTCAATACAAAATGAATGCAAACTTCATAACAATTTCAAATAAATTTTGTGTAAAATCAATATATTTTTAATGATAAAATTAACTTGGAAAAATGTTATTGACGGCCTGTACTCTCACTCTTATCGTAGAATAAAATCAACATGTTTTCTGTAAATTTTAACAGATAAATCTTGTCACTAATAATACGAAATATATCTATTATGTAAAATTGAAAATATGTGTTATTTTAACACTTTTTTCAGTTGTTTTAATAATTTAATTCAATTAACACAAGAGCAATATGTTAAATTAACATGTAAATGTGTTAAATATTTAACACAAAAATTTTAACCGTCATATTTTTTAACAAGAAAACAAATTTTCCTGTGGCAAATTGAAAGTAAAATATATTATAAGTAAAAATATAAATAAAATATAAGTAGAATATATTACAAGAAAATATGATAAAATATATGGCAACAAAAAAAGATGCTGCATGTAATATAGTTCTCACAGACGCCTGCGAGAAATATTCGTGTCGCAGATATTCGCTGCTAGATATATCGTGCTAATAATGCTCTCTTAGCAGGTTTCCACTGATCGCGACAAAACTGTCAGCTAAAATAGAACGCGAGTAATCAAACACGCGGGAGGTCTCCGGTTTTCTTCCTGAAATGATTAAGATTTGCAGAATCTACGTATCGACACGCATATTTACACGTGTAAACAGGTCCTATGCGTATGTTCCCTGTTCAACATGTCGTATCGCTTTACATAATAAAAATATCGATGTCACGATTATCGTGGGATGGTTACTGAATCACGCACAATGACAAGGGGATACGGTCTGAAAAACTGGGTCGTGCGCGCGAGTTGCATTTTTTTTAAATCTAAAATAGTTTTATCTTACACGCGGAATACGGCACGTAAAGATAGCGATGCTATCTTGCGATGTTACATGTCGCGTTTTTTTATCATGCAAAGAAAGTAGATCACAAAACGATTATATCATTCTCATATGTTTGAACTCTGTGTGCTTGTAAATTTATTTTATCTATCGAATATTTCAACATTATATTAAAACATCGTAAAATGATAAATTCAATCGTTCATTTTTATTCATTTTCTTATATCGATATATCAAATGATACATCTTTATTTGAATATTTTTCAATATTCTTTCTATCAATATTCACTTTATATCATATAATTACACATACTTTTCTTTTAATTATACTTTTCACAAATACTAAAAATAACACGTGATTACTCTTTCTTTTATTGTCTTTGATTCTGAATAAGATCTAAACTAAATAATTTAGAAATAAAAATGTTACGTCTGCTCACAATTAAAGTAAATTTGTCATCATGTTCGATTTCTTACGAATTGAACACAATGTAGACTGGCATGCACGACATGCGATAGATCTGTCCTTCTCTGAAACTTTACTTCACCATTGTGATATATAGCTGCAAGCTTGGCAGCGTCTCGGAGTCTGCGAAGTTCCAACGCGGCTTCATGCTCACTGATCGATTCTCTATTTTTAGTTTGACTCACCATTAAATCGTTAATAATTAACTCAAATTGTCGGCAGATTCTCTTATCAATGTAATCCGAATATAGCGACTGAACTCGATATTCTTGGGTTACCTGACAAATGAACAATGACAGAAATGACATTCGCAATTAATTTATACTAATATTAATCTGTCTTTGTCAAGAATCAAAATTAGAAACGAAGAATCAGTGTATGATGAGTAAAATTATGACGTTGATGTAAAAATAATTCTTAAATAATTTCAGCAGATAGATGCAGAGCAATTTTGTGACATAATAAACTGAAGTGTAAATAATATAAAATAAATTTATTTAGATTTCTATTAACATATATCCATAATATAAAACACAAATATTGCATTTAATAATTTTTATTACTATAATTATAATATATATTTGTGTTCTCGTTGTTGATTCGTTAATCAAATACTTGCAAGAATTTGTAGCGCCAAGTCAAACACGTCAATATATTGGATTAGCCAAAAAATTGATTTGAAGGGTTGTATTATATTTTAAAAATCTGTAACTTGCAACTGCTTATGTTGCAATGCGACTTACGCTATTATCGGATGCTCGATGTATAACTATAGATAAATACAGAGCTAAGAAGCTTTATTGTTTTGTTTATCCTTGTGAGTTGACGTTGAACATGTAATTATAACAGAAGATAGTATATTACACAATACTGGCATGCGTATCCAGCGAGAGCGTATGACTTTTTTTTCTTTTTTTTTTTCTCTTTTTTTCATCGCCTCTTCATATAATCGTCATTCTCTCGATGACTTCGGAAAGAACATGCGGATGTTTCGTATAATCGCGTCGCTTGAATGGCGCCTCCGTTCCTTTCTCCACTGTCGTCCAGACAACCTTGATGATGCGAGCAGAAAAATTCGAGATCTTTCTTCGCTTCTTTTACTGTTATTACTGATTCGATAAATTTGAGGATAATAGATGAGATGTCGACAATGAAGAGAAAGAAATCAATTTTTCAAGTAAAATTTATTTCTCTCTTGCCATCGCGTTAAAATGACATCAGACGAGAACGTCTCTTGGCTAAACGAGTGGTTTTTAAATAACTTTCTGTGTTACACAATTTCTGCTGTATTTTGCTATTCTCTGTTATTGCAAGCATATGTTATTGCTTAATAAAAATTATAAACGCAGATAAATAATAATTTAGAAAATCGCTTTTTTGAAGGAATGTGAGAAATGATCAATATGCAAAAAATTTGAAAAATAAAATTGTATTATATTAATTTATGTTGTGTTTCAATTTAAAATCTGTTTAAGAAATAAAAATTTTTCTGTTAAAAGTTGAGTATATTTGATATAAAGGAAAAATGTAGAATAAAAAGAACGTTGGACAAAACGTTTATACGAAATTTAATTATCACCAAAAGAATGTGACTTTGGAATATAAAGCTATCCGAAAAAGAATTTGAAAATAAATCAAAACTTTATTTTAGCGAACGATAAAGATACAAAAATATTTATCTTTTTAGTCAGGTTGACGATAAATTATTGTATCGTACAATCAGAAATTTCAAATCGGAATTGTTCAGTCCCCTTATATACATGTAACTTTACAAAAACCTGCCGGGTTAATTGTTGATGCAAACGATATGTAAGTAATAAATGTGGCAATAACTGCAAGCAAATGAAAAGAGATTGCATAATAAATCAATCAATTCTGCGTATTTTTCGGCTCGCATTAAAAGCTTAAATGTTCGTCCCTACTTGTACAGCATCCTTCTTGAAACGTTGAGGATTCTGTATGCAAAGTCTGTGCAACGAGTTATGTTCTCTTGTATTTACATCGAGGGAAGGGCGAGAATTGTTTACGACTCCTCCTCGGAAAATATGAGGCAAAAGAAAAAGACAGACGAGCGCGAAAGTAGCAAAGAATCCGTATAGGGCACGCAGAAATTCCTACGCGAAATAATATTTTCCTTTGAGAAAGGAAAATATGGTGCGGAACAAACAGACGGTTTTCTGGTCCATGAAAGTAACCAAGTAAGAACCAAGTAATCGTAATTGCGTGTGTGTGTGATATGCGATTATATCGTTTAATATAATAAAAGGTCAAACATAAAAAATAATAATAATAAATTCTAAAAAATTTTAAACAAATAAAATGAAATAATTTATCTTCTCTCAGATAATATATTTTTATAATCATATTATAGTCAATATTAATTTATATTTCTAAACAAAATAAAGAGAATTTTTTCTAAAACTGATTTTACTACATTTTATCAAAGCTAATATAAATTCGATCCACTTATCAGAATTTCTAGTTTATAAATTCACAGTTTTGGAAAATAATTTGATAAGATTAATATTTAGTTATCTTTTATACATATCTTAAATAATAATTATAATTTAATATTATAACTAAACGTAATTATATCGCTACGATAGGTTTCTAAGCGCGTATTTTGCATGATGTATATATACATTTAATCAAGAATCGAAGTGACAGGAATCAAAATTATGAATTATTGTTTTGTTGCGATTCTTATAAGCAATAATTATTTCTTCAAAAATATTTAAAGTTAAATATATTTCACCCGACGCTTTATTGTTCGACTTTCGACGGCATGTAAATATTGGATGATTGCATAAGTTCGTGCCCGATTTTCATAGATGGCATTAAGTTACTGCATGGCGGAGTTCTATTGTTTTCGTGTGGTAATTGTTGCTTACACCGAATAGATGACGTTGTCTTATGTCAATTTAGCGTCAGACATTGTTCAGATAAGTCCATTTGTGCATAAGAGAAATCATTAAAAATGGAGAACGAAAAGGTGCATTTGCGGCATGTAATGTTATATGAATTTCGGAAAGGCGTGAGTGTTGGGATTGCACAAAAAAATATTCAAACCGTTTATTTGGACCGCGCTCCTGCTCTCCGAACAGTCAAAAAGTGGTTTGGCAGATTTCGAAATGGTGATTTCAACATGGAGGATCAACCCCGCTCTGGACGGCCTTCTGGCATTGATGATGACATTGTGCATGCCTTAGTGGAAAGAAACCCAAGGATTACAACTGAGGATATTGCTGAGAGGCTGAACATCGATAATTCAACCGCTTTTCGTCATTTAAAAAAGCTTGGATACGTTTCCAAGCTTGATACATGGGTGCCGCATCTCCTGACTGAAAGGAATAAGCTAAACCGTATGACTGTGGCTCTTTCTCTTCTCGAGCGTAACAAAAAAGAGCCTTTTTTAGATCGAATGGTAACAGGCGATGAAAAGTGGATTCTCTACAAAAACGTACAGCGAAAGAGGACATGGAAAACAGCAGCTGAAGGAGCAGAACCCGTAAGCAAAGGCTGGCTTGCATCCGATGAAGGTGTTGCTGTGTGTTTGGTGGGATCGCAAGGGAATTATTTACTTTGAGCTGCTCCGACGCGGCGAAACAATCACGGCGGACAAGTACTGTGAGCAACTAACTAGACTCGCTGCAGCTATTCGAGAAAAACGTCCGATTTTGGCCAATCGAAAAGGCGTCATCTTCCACCACGACAATGCTAGGCTACACGTCGCTCAACAGACGCTGCGAAAATTGCAGGAGTTGCAATGGGAAATTCTGCAGCACCTGCCATATTCTCCAGATATTGCGCCTTCAGATTTTTATCTGTTCCGGTCTTTGCAGAATAGTTTAAATGGCAAGAATCTCAATTCCGAGGAAGTTGTCGAAAACCACCTTACAAACTTTTTTCAAGAAAAACCAAGTTCTTTCTTCAAAAATGGAATCGACAAGCTTGTAGATCGTTGGAAAACCATTGTAGAAAAGAATGGAGACTATATAATTGATTAATAAAAGTGTTATCTCTAAAATATAATCTATTGAAGTTTATATTTAAATCGGGCACGAACTTATGCAATCACCTGATATAATTCGGATTAAAATCGCGCAGTTAAATAATCGAATCGCAAAATCGAATAATTATAATTAACATAACGAAAGTTCTTCGTGATACATCAATCGTTTAATAAATATAATTAATCATAATTTAAAATATACTTTATACACTTTAATATTTCCGCGTATACATATATAATATGATAGTACGTAAAATATTTCGGTAACGACTTTTCAATAACATAGTGTTCGGAGTATTGTGTATGGCGGCCCTATTGTTTACAAGTTTACATGTATGGTTTTCTTATCATTCGTACGGCCACACTCGAGATCGTTGGAAAACCATTGTAGAAAAGAATGGAGACTATATAATTGATTAATAAAAGTGTTATCTCTAAAATATAATCTATTGAAGTTTATATTTAAATCGGGCACGAACTTATGCAATCACCTGATATAATTCGGATTAAAATCGCGCAGTTAAATAATCGAATCGCAAAATCGAATAATTATAATTAACATAACGAAAGTTCTTCGTGATACATCAATCGTTTAATAAATATAATTAATCATAATTTAAAATATACTTTATACACTTTAATATTTCCGCGTATACATATATAATATGATAGTACGTAAAATATTTCGGTAACGACTTTTCAATAACATAGTGTTCGGACTTGGCGGCCCTATTGTTTACAAGTTTACATGTATGGTTTTCTTATCATTCGTACGGCCACACTCGAGCAATAACATAGTAGTACGAAACACTTTATATATTCTTAAATTCTATTCTTAAACGCGATTGCGACTAGTATCAGAATAGAAATTGCTATGATTATTACAATTAACAATTATTTTACTTTTAATAAACGAAACGAAATTATTGCAAAACCATTACGAATATATTGCGAATATAAGTAATTACAAATATAAATCTTTATTAAAGCGTGATCATCCATTATTGCGAGTAAAAATCGAATTAACAGAGATAAAAATTATAAATTTTATTACGATCCTTCGATCATCAATCTTTATGAATAATAATTATTTATTTAACAATTCTTATAGTCAAATATATTTCATCCGATAACTTTTTCTAAAATGCGAGCGCATAAAATAATTATTAATTAAAC